CTTAAACTGACATAGAGACTGTCAGGGAACCAACCCCTGGAAAAATCAGGATAATAGCACACGGTTTTGCTCCCAGATTTTAGGATTTCCCTACGTAAGTGCTACATTGTGCACCCAGTCCAGCAGTGCCCAACAAACCCAACACAAATGGGTTTGGATCAAACAGGGCTGCCCAACTGAGAAATACAAAAGGTTTTCAAAGACAGAGCTTTTAAGGGCTGAACTCAAGAGATTTCTGTGGGATTTGGGATTTAAGGGGGATGCCACCTCAGCCAAAGGCAGTCGAGGCTAACAAATTCCTGATGCTGGGCAAAAGGGAACATTATTGGCAGGATTACTGGATTTCATCTGCTCACTATCTGCCAAGGCAATGTCATTTCTTGCCCCTCCTGCCTCCCTGGCTCTGTTGGAGGAGGCTCTTTGCTCCTGTTTCCTGAATTTCCTTGGTGAGGTCAAACAGGCAAGACCAGCAGGGAAAAGGCCCGAGGAACTCAATCCTGCACAAAGAGCTGAGTCCTGTTTAATGGTTAATGTGATGATACAACATTTACAGTGCACGGGGGGCCTGGAGGGACCAACATAACCAAAAAGCCAGCCAGGTCAGTGCTCACCTCCAGCAGCCTGGTGTGGCTGCCACCCAGGGAAGGGCAAAAGCATGAGGAAAATATACTTGACCAGCATATTTTCCAAACCTCCAGCTGTTTGTGTCTCAGAGACCCCTCAGTCTGGGGGATGCTGCAGTTCTTCTCACCACTGGGTATTTTTTTTCCCTTCTATTTCTATTCCTATTTCTGTTCCTATTCTTCTCCATATTTCTGTCATATTTCCCTGGCATCCTTGAAGAAGGGAGGGAGTGAAACAGTAGAGATGTTCCTTCACCCCTTTTCCCCTTGACCTTCCCCACCCTGGCCCTGTCCCTTTACCTGGGATATTTATGAAGAAGGGAATGAATGGTCCGAGCATTTGGGAGTCTCCCGGTCACAAATCAGTCTCAAAACTGACCCTAATATTTGTGCAGAGATGTTTTTAAGTTGGGAAGAAGAGCAGGGTGTTGCAATGTGCCTCTGACAGCTCCTTGCCCAGGGAGCCCTGAGTCCAGCACATCACCCCACAGCACAAGGCATTTGACAGATGAGTCTCTGACATTCTTGTCACGTCTCCCCTTCTCCTCTTCCCCACTTGCCCAAGGCTGGAAATGCTGGAGGCGAGCTGGGAGGTCTGGCTCATGTCCTGGAGCCTGTCAGAGCCGGGACACACAGCCCAGGGCCTGCAGCTGGACTCACAGGAGGCTCCAGAGAGGCTTCATCTTCACCCTGCCTGTGTGTGCCCCGGGGTGCAGCTCGGCTCTGTGGGGACACCACGGTTGGGAGCATCAGGAAAACATGCAAAGAGTGCCTGGGAAACAGAGGGAGGGGGGGAGAGACACAGGGAGAGGGGAACAGAGTTTCTGTGCCCGTTGGGATCACGCTCAGGGAAAAGGAGAGACACCCTGCTGGGGTCTGGGATTAAGCAGAGCATCCGATTTTTCCGAGAGAGGTCCCAGTGCCACGTGTGAGAGGGGACATGGGCTGGTGCAGGCAGAGCAGAGCAGACCCTGCAGGGCCCAGCTTTCCCAGGCTTTACAAGGCTGGGCAGAGCATTGGGGAACACAGCACTGGGGTCTCAATGCACTGGGGGTGTGAATATATTTGGGGTGTGAATGCACTTGGGGTCTGGAGATTGTGTGACACAGAAAACCCCCAGTTTTCTCCCAGGTTTTTGGGGGAGCAGTGAATATGAAATCCTCTTCCTCCAGTAGATGCCACACGGGAATGACCTGGGGACACGTTAGACAGTGATAAGTGACTCTCTCCATCCCCTTTTATCCTGTTTACAACACAGAGGCTTTCCTTGAACAAAACCCTTTTTTCCCTCTCCTCGCTCCTGGCTGTTGTGTCTAAACGAGCCAATTTGCTGAAGGACTCCTCCTGGAAGCACTGCAAGTCTAACAAGACCTGACCATGCCTCTTTGTCTCTGGTAAAAATCAATTTCTTCACGTAAAAGAACAGAAATCTCTTTCTGCATTTCATTTCTGGCCATTCCATCAGGGCTCCTGCGATACCTCTCCCAGCCCTGGCCAGGAGGGAAATCCCAACCTCTATTTTCATTCCACTTATTTGCAGAAAGCGTTGGAAAAACGGGGTTTTAATGGCTCAGGGCAGGGGGAGCGAAGGACAGGAATGTGTTTGTTGCTGCTGCAGTTGATGGGTTTGTTGATATGTTGTTTATTCTCGGCCTGATGTGATTTCTGGGGCTTATTTGACAGCCAGGGGATAATCTTTTGCCAGAGGCCTGGCTGGCTGAGTGGCAGGGCAGACAAAGTTTGATGCATTATCTGAGAGGCAAGGGATGGACCCACAGGGGCAGAGTCGCTCGTTAATTAAGGATGTGTAGTTATTTCACTCATTTGTATCCCTGTGATGCTTGCTCTCCTGTGACTAGGCTGCATTCTGCAGGTGCTCACCCTGAACTGCAAATCAGCAGCACTCTGCAGACTGTTCCAGCCCCAGGGATTCCCCTTTTGCCCAGTCCCACATCAGGAGGTGCCTGAAAATAATGTCTCACCTTTCCTCCAACCTTTGTCAACCTTCAGGATCTGGAATTTTTGCTGCAGTTATTTATTTAGCCTTTGCCTAAGTGAGGAGCAGGCAGGTCTGGTGTTGCTGAAGAGAGCTTGGGGTTTAAACCAGTGTATTTAACTGCCTTGGAGCATTTTATCTGGATGGAGCCAGTTTAAGACGTTCTTGGTGACAAAGCAGGTTTCTCTCCACACCACAGGTGGGACAGGCAGCACAAACCCAGAAAAGGGCAGAACCAACCTAACAAAGAAACCAGTAGAAAATGACACCATTTAACAGAGGGAAGAAATGGGGAAGGAGAGAGCTGAGAGCTTGTCTCATCTGCTCCTGATGAGTTTTAAATGTCTGATCTCGTGGTATGCATTGGATGCTTTACAGAATACTGGCCTTTCCCAGTTCTTCCCAATCAAGCATTTATTAGGATGAAGCCCCATTTCCTGACAAGAACCATTTTCCATTAAACTACACTGACAAGAAGGAGTCACTGTATTAATTGGAGCTTTTCAATCAATCGGTGTTTGATTTAAATCAGTGTTTTTAATCAATCATAGTGCTAATTGGAGCTCTTCCAATCAATCACTGATAAAAAACAGTTTGCAGTGTCCTGCTGGCCTGACTAACTGGCCTACATCTTCTCTTTTTATTTTTTTTTTTTTTATAATCCACATTCTCCTTGATTTTCCCATGAAGTTAAAAGGTGTCAGGAGTTCTGTGGCTCAGCAGGCTCTGACCATAAAACACGAGGGGCTTCATAGCTCAGCAAATACAAGAAAGGGTTGTGGCTTTAACTGTGGTGGATTATCTGGTCCAAACAGTGAAGAAACAATGCACAGGTGGAAGAACTGAGAGAAGGTTTTGATCCAACTCCAGAGCAAGGCTTTGATTCCCAGCCCTGTGAGAAATGACAGGAACCTGTGCGTGGCTCTGGGACAGCACATCCATATCCTCAGGGGTGCAGCCACAGCCACCACAGGTCTCCAGCAAGGGAATGAGAGTGGCTACCAGTGTCTTCAGAGCTTGGAAAATTAATATTTCCTCCAAGCAGTCATCAGGTCCCTCCTCGTGGCCTCCTCTGCTCTGTGGTGGTTGCAGGTCCTGTTTGGGTGTCCAGAGGAGGCCCCGGAGCTGCTCCAGGGCTGGAGCCCCTCAGCTCTGGAGCCAGGCTGGGAGAGCTGGGGGGCTCACCTGGAGAAGGCTCCAGGGAGACCTGAGAGCCCCTTGCAGGGCCTAAAGGGGTTCCAGGAGAGCTGGAGAGGGACTGGGGACAAGGGATGGAGGGACAGGACACAGGGAATGGCTTCCCACTGCCAGAGGGTTAGATGGGATATTGGGAAGAAATTCTTGGTTGTGAGGGTGGGAAGGGGCTGGAATGGATTTCCCAGAGAAGCTGTGGCTGCCCCTGGATCCCTGGAAGTGTCCAAGGCCGGGTTGGATGGGGCTTGGAGCACCCTGGGCTGGTGGGAGGTGTCCGTGGGGGGGGGAACGAGGCGCCACTCATGGCTCGCAGTCCCACGGCCCCAAAGCAGCTCCCTCAGGTCGCGGCACCTCCGCTGAGCGCGGGGCGAGCCCGCAGGAACGGCTGTGCCTCGGAGAGCCCCGAACTGGGAGTTTTTGGAAAGATATCCGAAATCCCGGCCCGTCCCCCCCCGCCCCTCACGGCTCCCGCCGGTCCCGCAGCGCCCCCTGGCGGCGCCGGGAGGGGCAAGAGGGGCCGGGAGGGGAAGCGGAAGCGGCGGGAGTGGAAGCGGAAGGGCCGGAGAGGAGACGTGTGAGGAGAGCGGGGAGACACGGCATGGAGGGGCTGTACCAGCACACCAACAAGTGCGTGAGGGGAAAGGGGGCATGGAGGGGCTGTACCAGCACACCAACAAGTGCGTGAGGGGAAACAAGGGCATGGAGGGGCTGTACCAGCACACCAACAAGTGCGTGAGGGGAAAGGGGGCATGGAGGGGCTGTACCAGCACACCAACAAGTGCGTGAGGGGAAAGGGGGCATGGAGGGGCTGTACCAGCACACCAACAAGTGCGTGAGGGGAAAGGGGGCAGGGAAGGGGCTGTGCTGGCCCAGGAACGAGTTTGTGAGAGGAAATGGGGGCTGAGAGGGGCTGTGCCAGCACACCAACAAGTTCGTGAGGGATGAGAGGCTGTACCAGCCCAGGAATGAGTTTGTGAGGGGTGAGAGGCTGAACCAGAGAACCAAGGAGCGAGTGAGGGGGCACAAGGGGTGCGAGGGCACAACAAGAAGTGCCTGAGGGGGTCCTGGGGGTGAGAAGGGCTGGGACAGCGAGCCTGCCAGTGCGTGAGGGGCAGGAGGGCTCCGGCAGCTCTGAGGGGCTGGGGCAGCCACAGCAACAACTGTGTGAGGGATGTGGGGATCTGGGAAATAGGGAAGGGCCCGTGTTCTGTGAAGGAATCAAGTCCATAGCGAGGTCAGGTGTTTCAAAGTTCCCACAGGAGCTGCTGCCACGTCAGCCCCCGCCACGGGGGACCTGTTAATTAATTATTAATTACTCCCTGCTAATTAACGTGCGCTTGTTTAAGGGGTGCTGGTTCATATTGGCTTTTGGGGCAGTAGGGGTTGAGGTGTCTTGCAGTTTAAACCCCCTCTGAGAGCTCCTTGAGGATAAATCCCCCATTTCATGGGTAATGCCCGTCTGGGGAGGGGAGGAGTGGTGTGAAAATTGCAAAATGAGGCAAAAAAAAAAAAAAAAGAAAATCTTGCAGCTCTGTTGTTACTGCACGTGGAATCACTCACAGGTCCCTTCCAACTCTGAATGTTCTGTGATTCTTTAATCCAATATTCCAAATTTCCGTGGTAATTTGCTGCTTTGGGGAGCTCTTTTGAGGGAGGTGGGGTGATAATTGAACTGACTGAAAACAAAACTATAGAACAAGCATGGGATTGCAGGGTTCTGGGTATTGAATTGGTTCTGTAATTAATTCCAAGCATTGCCACTCTTGGGACGTCCCCTCTTCAGCAGCACAGAGTCAGGGTTTGGAAGGCAGCTCTGATTTAAAAATCTCGTGTACTAACTGAAGGACAGATGTTTTCGAGCTCTGCAGGTTGGTTTCCAAAGTCTGGCTCCAGAAACGTTTGTGCTTTGGTTATCAGGTGAAAGGGTCACTAACGTGGCCAAAATTCTGGCCTCTTAAAATTTGTTTTTAAGAAAGGTGGTGATGTTTTTGTGAAATACCAAGTTTAATCAAAGCCATCAATAAAGTGCCTTTATTGAAGGTGAATTCAGCTGCTGTGAGACTGGTCACACCAGGTGACCTGGCCAGGGGTATTCCAGCATTGCCCAAATGTAGGTCTGTGGGAAACAGCAGTTCCTTATAATTTTAAGCTTTTAATTTCACTTGATGCCTCTGAATTTATATTTTATAAGGCAGTGAAAACCATTCCTTGTTCACCTTCTGTGCCATTCTTCCTTCAGGTACCTCCCCCCTGTCACCTCCAGGCAGAGCAGCTGCTTCTTTTCCTAATCTTCACCTTGATTTCTGTGCTTAAATGAATTTACTCTGCAGTGCTTGTGAAGTGGAACTGTGGTGGTGGTCACTGATGGGCTGCCTGCACTGAACACTCTTGCTGATTCCTGCTCTGTTCTGAAAAGTGCTTTCCAATGAAGGGAGCTGAAAACTGAGGTGCTGGAAGATGATTTTGTAGCTGTCCCTGACTGCTCTGCATGTGCTATTTGTGTCTTGCCAGGCAGGTCCACGAGGTGCAGTCGTACATGGGGCGCCTGGAGACCTCAGACAAGGGCTCAGTGCACTGTAAGTAATTCCTGGAAGGGAGGGGAGTCCCCCCCCAGGGGCTGGGCTAGCTTAGCCTGGGAGCTTTATCGTTGTATTTGCAATTATTGGGACAGATTTGGCTCTTGAGTCACTGTGATCAGCTAGGGAGACACAGCAGTGGCCTGGAGTGCATTACAATTATTTCAGTGGTTCACTTCAGTGAGGTGCTGTTTTGTAAGAAGCACAGAGCAGAAAAACAACAAGAATTTTCTTCAAATCATCCTCCTGTTGTAATCCTTTAGGTGCCAAGCAGTGCTCGCTGTGGGTGCTCCTGTGGTGTCCTGCTGTGGGGGTGGCAGAGCTCTGGTGCTGTGGGATTTTGGAGCTCCCTGTGGTGTCCTGCTGTGGGATTTTGGAGCTCCCTGTGGTGTCCTGCAGTGGGATTTTGGATCTTGTGGTCTGGGGATGTTTGCAGGCCGTGCACCATAACCAGGGGAGAAGCTCCCGTCCCTGCCCTCGTGGAGCTGCACTCAGTAAACACCCTGGAGTGGACAGAGCTGCACATCCACACCATTAATGGGCTGCTTTGGCAGAACCCACAAAGTAAGGGATGTGGCTGTGCCTACCCTGCTGATGGTATTCCCTCATCTTCCCCTGAAGATGCTCAGTGCAGCCTCTGGGGAAGAGGCTGGGATTTGGTGAGCAGGAGGATTCTGACAATTCCTGCTGCACCAGAGCCCGAGCCTGTAATTCCACCTGCTGGTGGGAAACGTGCAGAACCATTAGGGCTGAAACTGCCTCAGTGAATCTGGACTATAACCCTGTGCCCATAAAGGACTCTGATAATAAAATGCTCCTGTGTGAGTGGCAGTACTTTTTACCCCAGTGCAGAATTGGCCCATGTATTTTGGACCTGTGCTGGAAGCCTTAATTCGTGCTGGAGTCACTGAGCATGGGCTTCACCAGGAGCTCCTGAGTGACAGGACTGGCTGCATTTATTACCTGTCCACTGACTCCTAGTGCTCTAAATATTCTTGTGAAGTATGACTTTGCACTAGGAAGGGCTGTGAGTACTTTCCTATAACAACTTAAAATCCTGATTCTGGTTTTTGTGGTGGCTGCACTGCTCCACCTACACTGCCAGAGTTCCCAGACTTCTGTTCCCTGGGATTTTGAAAATGAATGTGATTTCCCATCTTGCTTCTGCTGCTTGAGACCATTTCAAGGGATAGGATTGGGTACATCTTACATGGTCAATAAATGAGCATCCTGATTATTTATGCATACATAAAGATACAGATAGTGCTGTAGATATTAGTGTGCATCCCAGAATTTATGGGAAAAGGGATTATCTGTGGCTGAAGAGGAGGAATAGGGGTGTCAACTGAGGGGACTGCAGGGGGAATGTGGGAGCCTGCAATCCTGATTCCTGACAGGGAGAGGAGGCTCAGGTGTCTGGAAAGAGCAAGGGTTGGCTCCCCTCTCAGAGGAGGGGGGAAAGGTGAGAGTGTCAAATTACTGAGCTAAAGAAGTGGCATTTCCTGATATTTATAGTTCTGTTATTTGATTTTCATCCAGTAAAAATTTGCATCTCTCAGGTTTTACAGAGAGCTTTGAATGCTTCATCAGATTGCAGTTCTTTAGTTCAAATCAAACAATGTTTTAATTTCCTTGCAGTGGTGGAAAACGAGATCCAAGCAAGAATAGACAACATATTCAGCAACTTGGAACGCCTGGAAATCCTGTCCAGCAAAGAACCTCCCAACAAGAGGCAGAATGCCAAGCTGTGAGTTCACCTGCCTTGCTCTGGTTGGGCAGGGGAGTCTTTGTAATTATTTTAATTACATTTATTGAAGCCCTTTGCCTTTTGATTTGTATGAAACCTTTATACCCTGCATAACCTAACCTCTGTGCTCTGCAGCAGCAGAGTTGAGGCACTGAGGGAAAAACCTCTGTCCTGCATTTAAGCACAGAATGATTAAGGTTGGGAAAGACCCCAGAGATCCTCAGGAACAGACTGGTGGTGGAGCTGCAGTCAAGGCTCTGTTCTCAGATGAGCAGAACATGCACTTGGAGGCTTAAATAAAATTCCACTTTATACGAAGGTTGGTTTCAATGCATTTGTGGAGGCAGGCAGTAACATTCCTTCAGCTGGTGTCATTTTCTCTGGACCATTTTCCTGGCTGTGGGTGACTAAAATGAGATTTCCAAAGTGAGCCCTGGTTTGAGCAGCAGGTTGGACCACAGACATCAGGCACTGCTGTTCTTGGTGAATTCTGTGGCTCAGTTATTAATGTCCCAACAGATTCCATCTGTTGCAGAGGTCAGTATGTGAAGTAGTCATGAATTTCTTTATAGAATCTCACACTCATTTGGGTTGGAAGGGACCTTAAAGATCATCTCGTTCCAACTCCCTGCCCTTCCACCAGACCAGAATAGTCTGATAATCAAGGTAATCAGTTATCTAGAATGGTAAGCAAACATTAAACATTATCAAACATTTAATCAGGAGTTCTGGACAGGATTTGTGTCAGCCCAGTGGAGATGTCTGGGATGTCTCCTGTGTTGCCCACTGACTTCAAGCTCCTTCTAATAAATATTCAAACTTAAGAACATGGTGCTAATTAATGAAACTTGAAAGCTTCATCTTTTATGTGAATGGGGATCATAAAATACAAAACCTGCCATCTTTCCAAGTCTGTGTTATAAAAGAAACAGATCTGTATAACTCCTGAAGTCATGGAATAGGATGACTGAGACTGCCAGTTAGCTCTCCTGTGCATTTATTGCACTTTTGTTGCTCAAAGTGAGCTGTTCCATGTCAGAAATACTTTGAGACAGCTCAGGAATTCTGCTTCACGTTCTGTTGTTATCCTGGAGGCTAAACAATTGATTAAAATGAATAATCCCTTGTTGAATCATCCCCTGCTCAGTAGAGAAACGAGGCAGGGAAGAGGTGGGTGTGGAATTTTGGCCTGACACTGAACCTTGTGGCCTCTTGTGGAGGAGCAGAGCCCACCATTCCGTGCTGACTGCTGGTGCTGCACCGTTCCTGTGGGAACAGCAGCCAGGGCAGAGCTTTCACCCTGCTCTTGGTCCTTTGCAGGAGGGTTGACCAGCTCAAGTACGACGTGCAGCACCTGCAGACGGCCCTGAGGAACTTCCAGCAGCGGCGCTACCTGCGGGAGCAGCAGGAGCGGCAGCGGGAGGAGCTGCTGGCCAGGACCTTCACCACCAACGTAAATATGGGGTTCACCTGGGTGGAAATGTGTGCTTTGCCTCTCTGGGCTGCGGGAGCTGCAGGCTGGCAGGGAAGGATGACAGTGTGTGGGTAAAGTGCAGCTCTCACGGGGCTGTTTGGAGGCAGCAGGAAAAGGCTCCAGCAGCTGCTGCTGATCTTTTATCCAGTGCAGTCCCACCTGGCTTGGCAGGGCAGCTGCAAAAGGGTGAGTGAGGTCCCAAAGGGCTCATTTTACTTGGATTTGTGTCAAATCCTGAGAGCTGTGAAAAGCCTGACTTGATACACCCTGCTGACGGTAGATGTCAGCAAAGCTGCTGCTTATCCAAATACAAATCACACAGCTGGCACAAAACCCTTGCTCTTTACCTGGAAAGGAGTCAAAAGTTTGTGATAACGTGAATATGTTCCACCTGTTCATGCTAATTCTTAGTTCCTCCAGTGGGAAGTCCCCCCTGGAGGAATTGTGCTCTGAGTAATGTAGGTTCACTTTCAGATTTCACTTTTCTGCAACTGAAAAGTTGGTGTGGATTTTTTTTTGTTTTGTTTTGCTTGTTTGTTTGGTTGTTTTTTTAGGGTTTTTTGTGTGTGTGTTGTTTTTTAAATCATTATTATGTTTTAAAGTTTGTTTCTTCCCTTCACCCCCCCCGTTTTGTTAAAGGCACCTCCCACAACATTCATTATGTGTGTAGTCAGTGTTGTCAGGGATGAGTGTGGGGGGGCCCTCTTTGCTTCAGATTTGGGCAGTTCCATGCACTCCTCACAGCCTGCCAGAAAGATAATGTCTGGTGTTTTGTTGGCTGCTTCAAAATTAAAAAATAAGACTAGAAAGGAAAGCTGATTTATTTTTAAACACTTTGGTGTTCCTCTGCAAATCAGGACAGGTTGTCCTGCAGGAAAATTCATTGTTAGAGGAACAGTTTTAAAGAGTAACAGCTGGCTTACAGATGCAAAATAGAGAGCAAATTGTGTTTTTTTCCTCCTTTAGATGTTAAAATGTGTCTCAAATGAAAGAAAACACATGATTATTTTGTATTTCTTTTTATCTTGCTATGAAAACGTGACTTTGGAGTGACATTTTAATAGGAAAATGAGGATTTATTTGTCAGTTGTTGGCTTATTTTGGCCAGTTGGTATTCATAACTCTCCTATTCTGTTAAATGGAGATGTCAGCTGAGTGTCACTGTCCTGCTCCAAACCCACATGGCAGTGACGAGCCCTTTGCCTGCCCTCTGGGACAGAGAGCAGATTGGGCTGGGGGCCTTGGGCAGGCTACAAGGGATCACATCCTCTGCCCTGCTGTGCAGTCCAGATTAGGGTTTTATCACATTATTTCCAGTTCAAGAGTCCTGGTTCCTTGCTGAGCAAATGCATCTTTGCTGGGAAAAAATGTGAAAAGTGTAAATTTGTAATTTCTTTTCTCTGAGGCCCTGGGTGACGAGTGAGCCAGAGCTCAGGGGACCATGCCTGTCTGCCCTCACTGCCAGAAGTTTGCACCATGTCATAAACACTTGGAATATCATCTTCCAAACACTGGGGTTTTCAGGCCTTCTGTCGCTCAGGGGCGTGGTGGGAAATCCTCCACAAGTCTTTCACCTGCAGTGATCCGATGGTTCCTCGTTAAACACCTTCTGCAGCTCTGATGTCCTCTCTTGCAGTGCCCCTTTCCTGCATAAATCATGAACTGAGACTGTAAAAACTCTCTGCTTTCACTCCCCTCGTCCTGGAGGTGGAGCAGCTGATCAGCTTTGGCTTCCTGCCTGTCCTCCCCAGGTCACCTCGCTCAGCGTGGCGTTCCCTCTGCTGCTCAGGGGGCTGGAGTGCAGGGAGCCCCCGTGGGGTGTGCAGGGAGCCCCCAGCCCCCGTGGGGTGTGCAGGGAGCCCCCAGCCCCCGTGGGGTGTGCAGGGGGGTGTGTGCTGCGTGTGGGCAGTGGGGCTGACAGGTAACCGAGTCCCTGCCTTTCCCCACAGGACTCTGCCACCACCATCCCGATCGACGAAACCTTACAGTATAACGAGTCCCTGCAGAGCGCCCACCGGGGCGTGGATGAGCTCATTGGCAGTGGCACCAACATCCTGCAGGGCCTGAGGGACCAGAGAGTCACCCTAAAGGTGGGGCATCGTTTGTCACCAAAGACCCCACGTTTTCCTGTGCTCATGATGACCAGGCTCTGTGAAATCAATCCTTGGTTCATTGCTTCGAGCTGAGGGGGCTGGAAAGGCCCAAACTTCCTTTAAACAACCCGAAATCTTTACATTTTAGCATCCTTTTGGTAATATCTGCAAGGTCTTTCCGGGGCTGGCTGGCCCTCCCCTGCAGGGCAGTGTCTGGAGTGCTGAATGTTCCATTTTATCCCCTCATAATTGTTTTCCTTTGGTTGGTGGTTGGTTTTGGGTCAGTTCAGAAGGGGCAGGGACTGCCTGGCAGGTGTTGGTTCAGATGAACATCACTCAGAGCTGCTGAAAGCACTTGTGTGTGAGATCAGTGATAAAAGTAATGCTCCTCAGTGATGGAGATAATGGACCTCAGGAATAAAGATAATGCACCTCAACATCCCCCCTTCCCCAGGCTCTGCTGACTTCTCTGTATTTCTGCCAGTCTCTGAAGAGCAAATATTTGCCTTTTATCTTAAAGACTCTTCAGAGTGATGTTATATTTTGAGTGAATAGCTCAAGGACACAAAAACCTTTTCAATGTGCGTGGGGAGGAACTGAATTTCTGAAAAATGTGGGGAAATCCTTTTGTGTGTTTTATTCATCTTTATTCTGATGGGGATAACTGCTGATGTCTGTCTTGGGGTGTATCTGGCAGGGGATTTAGGCATTTTCGGTGACAGGAATTCCTGTTTTGCTGGGGGTCTCTGCCCAGCTCTGTGCTTTGGGGCCATCGTGTTCTTGTGTTTTCAGGGGGAGATTTCTTCTTCCTCACAGGTGAGGAAACATCTGCTCATGTTCCTTTTCCCCTTTCCCAGCTTTTCTTACGCTGGCAGGGCTTTGTTGCCTGATAACATCTGGCAGAAGCAGCTGCTGTAAGAGACAACTTACAAAGAGAAATGTGGAGCCAAGGACTGTCCTGAGCTGGAAGGGACCCCCAGGGACCACCCAGTCCAACCCCTGGCCCTCCACAGACACCTCAACAATCCCCCCCTGTGCCCCAGAGGATCATCCAAACCCTCCTGCAGCTCTGGCAGCCTTGGGGCTGTGCCCACTGCCCTGGGGAGCCTGTTCAGTGCCCACCACCCTGTGGGGGAAGAACCTTTCCCTGAGATCCAGCCTGACCCTCCCTGACACAACTCTAATTCCCTAATTCCTTTATTCTCTGAAACTTTATGCTTATTTTGTGTAAATAGACAGGTATGGACCAAGTATTCCCAGACTGTCACTTTAACTGTTCTGATTATACAGTTTCACTCCTCCATGACTGCAAGAATTGAAGAGCTTTCACTTTTTTTGTTGTTTTATTTTATTTCAAAGCTTTATATTTGGTTTGTTTTCTCCCAGCAAGGTTTGGGTTTTTTTCTGAAGCAGTGAGGAAAGATTCTGCAGGGACAGGGAAGAGCTGAACCCAAGAGCAGCCTGCAGGGGGTTAATGTGAGGTGTGGGAATGCAGGGGGAGAATGTGATGATGTGTTACTGCAAAGATTTCAGTGAAGGGCCTGAGTACCTGCACAGCCCTGAACAGAAGAAACTCTGTCATCTGTCATTGCAAACCTGTATGTGCAGTGGATTGAGAAACTCTTTGTGTGCCTGATACTGGTGATCTGAAAGTCCTCAGGGAGATTTTCCTCATCTTCAGTCAGGTTTGTGCTCAGAACAGTTCCAAATAATGATATTTTTGCTCTCCTGAGACCAAAGATACAGTGGACTGTGGGAGGAGAAGCTGAAGTTTTTATTTCAAAGCACTGTGATGGGAATCTGTGCTTCTGACCTGGCTCAGAGATGAAACCAACTCCAGCTTCCTGAAGGGATGTTCTGCCAGGGATGACCCAGAGCCACTGTGGGGGACAGGGTCCCTCATCCTGGTGTGACAGGGCACTCAGGCTGCAAGCTCTTTTAGGCCATGTCTGGAACAGGACCAGGAACACTCTCACTCCTCCCTGGGGAGTGCATTTGTCTGAGAGACTTAATATTTATTGTGTGTTTGTCCACACAGATTTCGTGTCTTTAACCACGTTCTTGTTTGTGTGTGTGAATTAATCAGTCCCAACCTCCAGCTGTTTCCAGGCTGCTGTGGCCACCCCCATCAGATGGTTCCACAGGTCACAACCCATCCGTCCCCAGCCATTCTCGGGCTGTGGAATGAGCAGTGTCAGAGCAGGAGGCTGATGGTGTCTGTGTTGTGTTTTGCTCCCAGGGTACCCACAAGAAGATCCTGGACGTTGCCAACATGCTGGGCTTGTCCAACACGGTGATGAGGCTGATCGAGAAACGTGCCTTCCAGGACAAGTTCCTGATGCTGGGGGGGATGGCAGTGACCTGTGTCATCATGTTCCTCGTGGTGCAGTACCTCACATGAGCTGCTGAGCCCCTGCCACAGGCCTTTGGAGCAACGTGGACTGGACTTCCCTCTGGGTGCTGCTTTGGATGAGCCCTTCCCATGGACTTTGGAGTTTACAGATCCCACCTGGACAAAGCACGTCGGGAACTGGATGTGTCTGGGGACGCTGTCATTGAGAGTGGCCCTGTGAAAACACCCCCTGGCCTCTACAGCTCTCACCTCGTGTCTGCAGGTTTGAGATCTGGTTCAGAGGAAGCAGAAGTGAATGTTGTGCCCAGCCAGGCAAGGCAGGAGTGTCCCTTTGGAGGCACAGGAGGACACAGAGGCAGAGTGGAAGCTGAACCTCTCCTGTGCTGGCCAGAGCTGAGCCTGGCACTGCACTTGGCAGTGCAGGAGTGGCACAGAGACCTCCCACGGCCCTGTGGACAGGGTGCAGAAGGAGTTGGGCAGTGAAGGGTTTCCATCTGCAGATCCACCACGTGCTTGGAGGAGGAGGAGGGTTTGTGGGGAGAGGCCTTAGGGCACAGTTGAACCTCAGTGAACTCCACACTCATCATCAGCCAGCACAGATCTCCTGGCTGAGGCTGCAGTGCTGCTCAGCTCACCTGAGGCTGTTTGGTACCTCCTTCTGCTCCCAGGGGAGGTTCAGTGCTGTGTTCCTGCCTGCCCCAGTCCCTGGGTGGGCTGTGCTCTACAGAGCTTTGGGATCACTCACGGAGCTGGAAGGGGCTCCCTGCTGCTCCTCACATCACAGGGACAGTGGGATGAGCACAGCAGGCCTGTCCCAGGCAGCTGTGCTTCCTCAAGCTCTCCTGCCTTGGGATGGTCACATCCACATCCCCAGCCTTGGGAAGGGTGTTCCCTGGGCCAGCTCTGCCCCTGGGGAGTTACTGGGACAGACACTCGGGGGAGTTCCCTGACCCTGAGCTGGGAGATGTCCCTTTACAGTCCAGCCCTGCTTTCCCTGCAGCCTGAGGGTCCTGTCACAGGGGCCATCCTGGGATTTTGGGCAGCATCCCTTTCAATCACCCCTCAGATCCATTCCCATCCCAGCGTGTCTGGAGCATTCCCTGATGTCTGGCAGCAGCACAGAGGTGTCCTATCCGGGTGCTGTGGCCTTGTGCTGGCAATTCCTGCCCTGTTTTCTGCCTGGAATGGGTGTGGGTCTCTGGATCAGTGACAGATCCCAAACTGTGCATTCTGTCTTTGCTTTTCTCCTGTGGGCTGGTGCAAACGGGGAGAAACGGTTTAAGAAACTCCAAAAATGAGTTTCAGGGAGCGGGGGCAGGTGAGGCGTGGGCTGTGCTGGGCCCACCCAGAGCTGCTTTCCAAGGACACACCTGAGCAGGGCAGGCATGGGATGGGGTTTCATTTGAGCCCAAGGGAGGGGGGGATTCAAAGGGGAAGAGGAATCATGCAGTGACAGCATCTGTCCAGCTCTGCAACCTAAACCTTAAATCCAAAGCTAGATTTGTTCTGAGTATGAAATCTGATGGATTCATCCTGGGGTGCCCTTGGGAGGTCACTGGCAGGGCAGCTGGGCACTTGTGAGGGGTCCCTAAAATCTCTTTCTGTTTCCCATGAACTGCTCCAATTCCATTTACAGGTTGGGGTTCAGTTTGGGGTTGTCACTGTTTCTGTGGTTGTGACCTGCTGCAGGAGGGTTTGTCTCACACCAAGGTGGGGCTCTGGCCAACCTCTTTCCTTTTGGGCTGTGGTGGGAGCCATAAAAGATTTGGAACTGGATTTTTTTTTTTCTATTTCTGAGCCCAGTTTGGCATTTCAGGAGATGTTTCCCTGTTGATCTGTTTTGCCTGCTGGAGTCTCCTTGTCCCTGCACAGGCTGATGTCCCCTTGGGGAGCCAAGTGGCCTTGCTGTCCCCCTGCATCCAGAGGGGCTTGGAGGAACCCCCTGGGGACCTGGATCTGAAGACATGTCCCTTCAGACACGGTTGTGCTGCATGGGAAGCCCAAGGTGTGGACTTGGAAACCCGAGTGCTCTCAGGGGTGTTGTGTAAAAACCCCCCAAAAGCCTCCCCTGCAGTGGGATGGGGTGGGATTGGGATCCTGCCTTCCTGAAGACCTCACTTCTGCTTGCCACGACTCCCAGCTCTGGGATGAACTGCTCTCCCAGGAGGGGACACTGGGAATTCAGTTCCCTCTGGAAAAAAAAAAACAAACCTTTTTACCAGTATTTTATACACAAAGGAGCGAGGGTGGGACACGACGTGATTCATGTGATATTCTGTGAATAAAGATTTTGTTTTTTCAGCCAAAATGTTTTTCTTTTTTTTACCTTGACCAACACTTTGGGGGCCCAGATGAACCAGCAGGGACAGGTCAGTGTTGTCCCAGCTCAGGGGGAAGGGAAGTTCCCAGAAGGTGGAAGCAGGATTGGCCAGCTGGGAGTGGGATCACAGCCAGGGAGGGTGAGGAGGGGCTTGTAGGAATTCTTTGGTAGCAGAAGGAGCCAAAGGGATGGGGCTAATGGGGTTGGGGGGCTGGAGCCCCCGTGTCGTGCTGCACCTTCTGTGGGTTCTGGTTCAGAGCAGTGAGGGAAGAACCTGCAGGGCAAAATGGGGCTGTTGATGAAGAGGTGGTGGATTTCAAATGTCAGATCAAGGAGTTGGATTATCTTCCTCGTGCTATTAATTTCTGGTTTGACACAATTCCAGTCCCCCACAGCTACAAAACACTGAGTAAGAAAATACCCAGCAAGGAAGGCAGGAAGTCAGTGCTGGAGGTCTGAAGGGGTGCAGAGAGGGGACAGCTCTGAAGGGCTTCGGTCCCTGGGCAGCCCCTCGAGGCTGGAAGCAGAACTGATGCTCTGAAGCTGTGACTGAGAAACCCAGGAGGGTTTTATGTCCTGGTTTCACCCGGGATGGAGCTCATTTCCCCCCAGTAGCCCGAGTTTGGGATTCAGTGTGGGTGGGAATGGCACTGGTAACACTCGGGTGGTTTGTGTTTAAACCAAGGACTTCGCAGGTTCCCAGGCCCTGCCAGGGAGCAGAGGGAGGGCCAGGACGGGGTCTCCGAACTGGCCAGAGGGATTTTCCACACCCCAGGGTGCCATTCCCAGTTTATAAACTGGGGGGCGGGCTGGGAGCTGCAATCACTGCTGGGGAAGGTCAGTGGGTGGTGATGCAGAACTTGTTTCTCTTAGGTTTTACTCCTCTCTCCCTTTGCTTAAAAAAAACCCAAACAACCCAATAATAGTTTTAATTATTAAATTAAATTTAATTAACGAGTCCTTATCTCAACCCACAAGTTTTACTGTTTTCCCCCTTCATCCCACCGGCCAGGTCAGGGAGTGAACGCTCGTGGGATGTTCTGGGTGGGGTTAAACCAAGACAGTTAAACCTGAGAGGGAAAAGCTTTTGAGACAAAGAGATCAGCTGGGTCAGTATTAGAGCAGTTAAAAACCGTGTATTTGAGCAGTTAAAAACCGTGAAATGGGGGTAAGGTATGGAATCGAGAGGGAGGTAATGGGTGATAAAGGTGATGGTTGGGTGGGACAGAATTTAATTTGGAAGATAGTGCAGATAAGCACCCCCGAGGATGTTTGGGGTTGGCCGGGAACCAAAATCGGCTCTGCCTCTCCCGCTGATTCCTCGTGTTAACCCCGGAATGTCCCAGGGGGGAGTGTTAAAAATCAACCTCCTTTAGTGCAAAACACAACCCAGGACCAGAGTAACAACACTGGGTGTCTGAGCTGAGGGAAAGAAATGTCTCCCCCTGGTCCAGAAAAGCGTCCACGGGTGGAGCTGTCACAGAATCCCAGGAGATGCCGAGTTGGGAGGGACCCACAGGGATCCTTTAGTCCAGCCCTCGGCCCTGCACAGGACCCCCCAGGAGTCCCACCGGGAGCCTGAGGGTGCCGTGGTTTCCCATTCTCTGCAGAGGGTGCTCCTGCCCTGCTCTTGTCTCCCAAACCTGCGGGGTGTGAAGCCTTTCCCTCCCACCCCCCTCAGCTCTCCCCGCACTCACCGGCTCCAGGTGCTGCAGTCCCGAGGCATTCCCGGCATCCCGAGGGATTCCTGGGATTCCTCCTCCCCCCCAGGGGTCATTGGGCTCCTGTTCCACAGCTCTGGGTTCTTTCTGTGCCTCCTCTCAGAGGGAAAAGGAGGGGGAGAGGGGAATAAACCAGTGACGGGATCAGAGAGGAACACTCAGTCCTGTCAAGGTTCTGGAAACGGGCAGGAGAAATTACAGCCCGGTGGGAATGGAAACGGTTCCAGAACCCCAAAATGCAGGGCAGGGATGGTGTCAGAGACCTGCCCTGGGCCAGGATGGAACCTCTACACCAGCAGCAGAAAAGCCAAGGCATGGATGGAACAGGACTGGGCAAAGGACACAGGGCAGAGTGGAAAAGCCAAGGAGAGTTTACACTCCCAATGAAGGAGAGGGGAGAACTGGTGGCAACAGATGGAGAGCTGGGGCTGTTCAGCCTGGAGAAGCTGCAGAGAGACCTGAGAGCCCCTTCCAGGGCCTAAAGGGGGATTATGAAAGAGGGAGAGGGACTTTTTACACAGGCAGGACAAGGAAGGGAATGGTTTTAAACCAAAAGAGGAGAGATTTAATGTTAGGAAGAAATTTCCCTGAGGGTGGGGATGCCCTGGCACAGGGTGCCCAGAGAAGCTCTCAGCTATTTGGGATGTGGGATCTCAGCTCTGGGAGGTAGGATGTCAGCTCTCGGGGATGTGGGATCTGTCACCACTTCCACTCGAGGTGACAAAGAATAAATGAAGTCAGGGTGGACAGGAGAGCTCCCTGTGTAAGCACTGACTGACTCACAAGAAAAGCAGTCCCAGAACACTTAAACCGTTTTTATTCTGAATTACCAACAAGAACCTTGGCAGAAATTGACAGAATTTTAAAAGAATCCCGATTTTGCACATTCCAGTCAACATCTATTATTCTAGAGTGGTAGGACACAGATGGTGAAAATCCAGTCTTTAGAGGAAAATGTGTCTCTTGGCAGACAAACACCACGTCTGGCTGCTCAGCTGTGTTCCACATTTAGATCCAACTTTGCACTTTAGGAAGACACTGCTTGATCTGAACAACTGCAATGGCCTAAACAGGTATTTTCAGTGATTTAAACCATTCCACCCTCCTCCCTCCCCCGCCTCCAACGCAGAACAGGCCCCTGAAAGCTCTCAAACACGTTAGAAACTCACAAAACTCTGCTGGAAACCAGGCAAGCACCTCAGTGTCCCCTGACACTTGCCCTTTGGAGTTGTGTGCACTGCAGGGAGCAAGAGAGGATTCCCCATTATGGGAATCACCTCACACACAGGAGACAGCTGAGGCCTGAAGTGCCAAAGGCTGAAGGTGAGCTCAGGATGCTCTCCAGGCAGTCTCTGTAAGTGAAAACATGGTTTAAAACACAACCCTACCTTTCCATGCTCTGAGTGGACAAACTCCAACTCCAACAAGATAAAAACAAAGATCATGGGCAGAAAAACTATTTGTCACTTTGGCTGCTCCAGATGATTTTAATTAGTGGGAAGTGTCCAGAGCCTGGAGAAACCCTCAGCACTGACTTTCTGCTCTCCAGGCTGGAACAGGCCCTCAGACACGACCCCATGAGCCCCAGCAGTTCAGAGCTCCCTGCAGGGAGTCTGTGCAGCTCCCCAGCAAACCACAACTCCTCCCAAACAGCCAGCAGAAGGTCCACAGAAATCCCTGCAGGCACCACAAACTGCCTGGGTTTGAGCAGGAAAGGTTTCTTGAGTCCCTGTAAATTTATCAGTCTATTTATTTGATAACAGTAACCAAAGTCACCAACTGAAGGTAAATTGCTTGGGGAAAACAAGGCAACCAAGGACATCTGGCAACATGCCCGAATGTTGCAAGAAACATGTTATGCAGCAAAAGCCAAGCGTAGAGAATCCTGCCACCAGGTCCAGAGCAGGTCTGTCATCCACAGGAGCTCTCCTGTCCCAGATAGGGAGGCACTTCCTGCTGGAAAAACACCTTCCAGAGGGGTGAGATGTTAAAACTCCGAATTCTGGAAAGGACAAGATGCGTTTTTGGCATGAGATGGTGAAAGACACGACAATTTCCCCCACTCCCCCAAGGGTCGGTGGCACTGCAGTGTGCTGTGGCAGATTCAGCCCAGCCCTGAGGTGACTGCAGAGTCCCTGCCTGAGCAGGAGCTGTGCCTGCAGCTGCTCCCAGAGGGAATCAGGACAATCACTCCCCAAAGTATCTCTGAGCTGCTGCTTTGCTGCTACTGGCAAGTCCTAGTCTGTGATTTCAGCATGGGACTCTTCCACCCAGGGAGCTCCTTCCCAGGTGGAATTTGAGAGCTTTTCCCTCCCACAGTGCTTGGTTTAAGCAGCCCCAGCTCTGGCTTAGCTGGGCCTGGCAGTGAGCAGAGCACAGAGCAAGGAAAGTTTGGTTTAGGTCAGGGGGAGGGTGCAGGGTGAGAGGGGATGATGGAGGTGGTGGGGAGGGGCTTGTTTAGACAGAGCCAACCTGGCAAGGGAGTGGTGCTGCCTTAACTTGGACCACGGGAATGGAGGGCTGGGAAGGACAGGGGAGAGAGGACACACAGAGGGTGACCCGAGCAGCAGATTCCCTCAGAAGCTGCTCTAGGGAGGCAGGTGCTCAATACAACCCCTCCTGCCCAGAGCCACAAAGCAGCAGAGCCGGCAGGAGCTGCCCCAGCTCTGGAGGGGACAGGGTCAGTACTCACAGCCCTGCAGGACACGCTGTACGGGAGGGTCTCGGGAGGCCTCATCCGCGAGGGCAGCGAGTGGCTCTGGTCCCTCACGGGGCTGCAATCGAGACACTCGGGGTTACTCCTCACAAATGCCCTGGGGCACATCTCTGCAGCTCCCCACAGCACTCAAAGGTTTCCCAAAAAGTCCCAGAGGTGGAAGCAGACGGTGCTGCTGTGAGTCCTGAGGGAAGGGGAGGCCAGCAGGGGTGAGCCCACACGGAACCCGGAGCTGCCACGGGCAGGACGTGGCTGGACCTTAAAGGAACCCACTGTCAGATGGACCTTGAGAGAGCTCTGCTGGTGCCACCACATCCCACAGCCAGCACACTGGGGGAACAGTGACACCAGCTCCTCCCAGCTGGGCACTGAGCTCTGAGCTCCCCCAGCCCAAACTGGGATCACACTTTGCAAGGGGCGGGAGGGGAGGATTCTGCAAACACAGGGCCCAGCACCAGCACACCTGGCCAGGCCCCAGGAGCTCCCAAGGACTCCCAGGGACCTTCCTCCCCTGCACACTGGCCAGACATCCCTCAGTCCCTGCACACAGGGCAGGAAGAGCCCCCTGCCACAGGCACACAGGAACAGTGTCTGCGCTTCTCTGGGACAGACCAGGAGAAAGCAGGTCCCACTGACCCAGCAGCCCAGGAACACTGGCTGTCCAGCATCCCTCCAACCAGGCTTGTACAGCAGCAAAGGCAGCTCCTCCCAGGGTTGGGAGGAGCCTGCAAATGTTCCCCTATACAGACACGGGTTTGTTTGCAATCAAACTTGCATTCCCTACCTGTTTATGGCAGAGTTGGGCACACCCCAAACAAAAGCAGAGGTAGAAATCTCTGACACCTCTGTGAAGGGAAACAGATGTTGTGGCTCAGAACCAAGAAACCCCAGCAACCACCCCCAGATCATCAGTTTAAACAGCTTCCCACTGCCAGAGGGCAGGGCTGGATTGGGAATCGGGAGGAAATCCTGGGAGGGTGGGCAGGCCCTGGCACAGGTTGCCCAGAGAAGCTGTGGCTGCCCCTGGATCCCTGGAAGTGTCCAAGGCCAGGTTGGATGGGGCTTGGAGCACCCTGAGCTGGTGGAAGGTGTCCCTGCCCGTGGCAGGGGTGTGGGAATGGATGATCTTCAAGGTCCCTTCCAACCCAAACCATTGTGGGATTCTGTGATCAGGAATCTCTGTCACATTTCTACGAGTTCCAGAGGGAGCACAAGCTGATCTGTGATGGATGTGTTTGCTGCCATTTCACTGAGGAACTCAAAGTTATCGTGTTCCCACAGCCATCACTGCACACACGGTACAAAAGCTTATACAGGAGGAGAGGATGCTTGGAAATCATTCCCAAGGCAGCACCTTGGAGTGTTCTCCATAGCAAGACAAGCCTGCTGTGGGGGAGAGATCCATGTTTTTAGGAATGGGCATAACCAAGGTGTCCTACAAGGGAGACCTGAGTGAGAGCATCCCCAGCCTCCCCGTGGAGGAGGCAGCAGGTCCTCACCTGTTTCCCAGTCTTCATCACAGGGAGGTGCCTGCCACGTGCTCCCATCCTTCACCTGCTCCTCTGGGGGCTCACAGTACCCACTCACTTGGGGAAGAGAGAAAACACAGTGACCTGCAGCCCTTAAACCCCCTGAAGCTCTGGCTCGAGCTGTGAAACCCCTCCTGGCTGCAGAGGAAGCTCTGCCCAACACAAACAGGCTGGGGACAGGCAGGGACCGAGCTGAAATCCAGCAACTCTGAGTTTGCCTTTCTCAAGGAACAAGAGAAGACTCTGCTCCCTGGGGCTCTGAGCAGGAATGCTGGAGTGAGGGGAAAAGCTGCTGCCATGGATGCAGCCATCACTGCTGGCCTCAGTGCAGCTCTGCAGGGGATATCAACCTGCTGTCTGCTCCCCAGTGTGGCAGGAGTTACAGGGAGGGCAGCTCTGGAGGATGAAAGGCCCATCCTTGTGGTCATTAAAGCATCCCAGCTCCTGCCAGAGGCACCTCCTGCATGGTTTTTGGTAAAACCTTTCCATTCAACAAGGCTGGTAACGAAATATGTGCCAGGCCTACCCAGAGCACCTCAAGAAACCACCTGAGAAAGCCAAGCCAAGGAGATGAACTTTGTCCAGGGTCGCTGTGTCACACAGCACTACAGACAACAGCCTGAATCCCACGGTTTGGACATTCCACAGTCCAAGGAGCCTCAGTCCCCGGGGGTGAGCAGACCCCTGGGAGCAGGGAGGGGGTTCTCTCACCTACATCTTGCTCCATGAGGGCTTGGTCGTTGCACTTCATGATGTGGTCGCTGAGGTCGCCCCGAGGCACCAAGTGCCGGGCGTTGAACGGGCACGTGGCCAATTTCTTTGCAATTTCTGGGTTGCTCTGCACAAGGGGAAAAAAAAAACCAAACTCATCTGCCACATCACCTGTAAGTTCACTGGGATATTTGTGGTGTTGCTTTAAGAAAAGATAAGCCTAAACAAGAAAGGGCAATGTCAGGCAGGCCCTAAAAGCCCCGGGATTGTTTTTCCAAACACAATTCACTGAGCCACCTCTGAGTGATGTGGAACAGACCCTCAGTCAACTCCCTCCAGTTTCCTGGTGACAGGGGCTGCAAAGGGTTTACAGCACAAATTTTAAAACCATCAGGGAGAGACATTAGGCAAAGGTAACCCAGTCAGATGGATTTTAAATAAGCAGGCACAAAGGCAGAGAAACTCCCTAAACCTTTCAGAACAGCCAAGGAGTTGGCAGCTGCCACCTGGATTCCCATTCAACAACTTTATCCCAAGCACCAGTTCCAGTGGCAGAGCTCAGCTGTCACTACAGTAAATTATCTCCTCCAAGTGATAGATGTTTTCCTGGGAAAAACAGGCTGGGAGAGCCCAAACCATTCCATGACTGCAGGGTTCTAAACACAGTTCAAGCAGAAGTACTCAGACACCAAGCTGTGTGTGCTTGGTGATCACTGTCTCACCTCATCCTCCTAACCAGGAAACTTGTCCAAACTCATTATTCATTATTTTTAAGGCTCTAGTTCCACCAAAGTGATTTAATTGCATTGTTACCAGGACACACAGCCTACAACTGCACCTTAACTGGAAGGCACAGCACTGTGTTAAAAACACACTGGCAAACTTCAAAAGGGACAATCAGGTTTCCAAAGGTCTCAGGAAAAACCCAAAGCTCAGGAAGGTTTAAAGAAACCCAACCCACGAGGACAACAGAGAAGGAATGCATCCTGTGAAATGATTTGTATTCAAATTCCAGATAAAGGACAGAGAGGGGAATAAAACCTCTCCCAGATGTGCTGAGCCCGGGGTGTGCAGATTGTGCCAGGTGCCCACGAAAGAGTTATCAGCAAAACAAAACTCCCCAGCCCTGCTGTGCAGCTGCACTCCCAGCACTGCAAGGATGAACTGCAACCTCCCAGATCTGCTCTGAGGAGCCAAGAGGGGTGCACAGAACTGTGACTGAGCCCTCCCTCACTGGTCTTGTGTCAATTAACAGGTGCCTGAAGCTGTTACTGAACAAATCACAAAGTTCTGTGAAATAAAGACCAGCCAAGGCTGCTGATCAGGAACTGCAGCAGGAATGAGAGCCCACAGGGCACGTCTGCAGGCCCAGAATCCCCCAGCCCAGCTCACCTCCTTACACTTCACCAGGTGGTAGGGGAAGCGGCAGGCTCGGATCTGGTGCTGTTTGACAAAGGGGCACTGGATCAGCCTCTCTGGGTCCAGCAGATCTGATGGCACAGAACAGAGGGGGGAAAAAAGCACCTGGTTACACAGACAGGAATCACTGACACAGGGAAGGGGGGAAAACCCCACCCCACCACACCACATCAGGGCTGAGAGAGTCAAACCAGTTGCTCTTAGTTTGAAAACACTCGTTAAGGCAGGCACCTGGTTTGCATAATCAAATTAATTAAATGGGGAGTTTTCATGACTGGAACATCGGTCAAAACACAGGAGACTCAGTAGCACTGAGTGTAGCAGCTCTTTCAGTGCCCTTATTAGGTGGGAAATACCCCAAGTCCAAGGGAGAGCCTGGAGCACTTTTCCAGCTCTCCTAGAGGAGGATCAGTGGGATCACAACACACCCACCAGCACCTTCAGGAGCTGAACCAAATTTTTTTTCTATCAACAGCTCATTTTGCTGGAGGAGGAACAGAAGGCAACTGAGTTTCATTTCAGAGGAAGCCCAACATGGTGCAGGTGACTCGGAATGAAGTTGTTAATATGTCCTGTAATAATTTAGGAGCTGAGGAGTTACTAAACCAGCAGAACAACTGAAGAATCGAGGCACTGAACAGTGAGGCAGTGTGACTCCACAAATACTTTTCTGTCTATAAAAGATATTAAAATGCAACTATTAATAAAACCTCACACTTTCCATATTCTCAGTGAGGAGGAGGCAGCCAGAAGGAGTCCCCATTACTGCCTGGGGGTCTGTCTGTGGGGCACAACACCAGGGAGCCAGACCAGCCTGCTCCATTCTTTCTGGTCTGCCATTCCTCTTGCTCAGGCTTTTAGGACATTTAGGTTTTAATTATGCAGGAGACAAAACAGCTCTAAGTTTCCATGTGGTGCCTCTGAGCACCTCACCTGCGTCAGCCCCTTCAGCTCCTCAGGGCAGCTGAAAACCAAACTGCCTTTGCCCTGGCCCAGCTGCCCCTGGAAGAGCAGCCACAGGTGGCTTTGTCACCGAAAAATAAAATAAAAGCGAAAAATAAAACTCTCTAACACTGCAATTTCAGTATTAGAAAGCAGGTGTTTATTTTGGCACGGGGTGCTCTGGGGGGGGGATGCTCCTCCTAACACACCGTTTTATGTCTATGGAACTAACACATATTAATCAGAACGCACAGGTACGTGCTAAACGCTCCCGAGCATTCTTTTACATATTTAAATCACTCTGGGAACTTATTTACATTAGAGTAGAGGTCTTTGGGGAACATCCCGTTCCTCAAGTTATCCTTTTCTGCTCCCGAGCCTCCCAAGCACAGCTTCTTCTCCTTGGATATATTCCAGCTGTGTGTCCCGGCCAAGAAACACCGTCTTATCAGCCTTGCTCGAGCCACAGCCTTTGTTCCCACGGCTAAAACAGCCGCTTGTGCACGTTAACCACCGGTATATACACATCTGATATCAGATATACATTATTTATCGCCGATAAGCAATCACAGGATCGAGCACTGCCTGTTAAAGGAATCCACAAGACTAAGTCGGGCACGGTCTTTATTCCCGAGGCTAAAATATCAGTGATAGATGTATGATATCAGATACGTATCACTGATAATCAGGGGATTAGGTACTGTTAAAGTTACAGGAATCCTCAAGACTTAGCACTGTTTGTCACGGGTTGTTCCTCTGAACCGGCTCCACGTCAGACCCGACCGAGCGCGCTGCGAGTGAAGCGAACACCGAGCCCTCAGCACATAAACCCAAAGCCCAGACAGCACCAGAAGCGGCCCGGGCAGGTGAGCAGACACGATTTACACGCGGCCGAGGCGAGCAGAGGCAGCGCAGCGATGCCCCGGGCAGGGGGGTCCGGTCCCCGTCCCCCCGCATGGGGACACATCCACGGCAACCCCCGAGCCGCCCGGGCCGGCAGCGGCGCTGGGACCGCCCGGAGCCGACCGGCTGCCCCCCTCCTGCCGGCCAGCACCGAGGGACTCAGTCCCGGCCCGGCTCGGGCACTGGAGCGGGTCACATCCGGCCCGAGGGAGTCAGTCCCGGCCCGGCTCGGGCACTGGAGCGGGTCACATCCGGCCCGAGGGAGTCAGTCCCGGCCCGGCTCGGGCACTGGAGCGGGTCACACCCGGCCCGAGGGAGTCAATCCCGTCCCGGCTCGGGCACTGGAGCGGGTCACACCCGGCCCGAGGGAGTCAATCCCGGCCCGGCTCGGGCACTGGAGCGGGTCACACCCGGCCCGAGGGGGCACCGCCCGCGCCCTCACGGCCCTGCCCGCAGCGCGCTGCCCCACCCCGGGCAGACCCCGAGGCTCACCCACGTCCTCCTCCAGCTCCATGGCGAGACTGCGTGTGGGCTCCTGTCCTGGCTGTGAGTTCCTGGCGCTGCTGCTGCTGCTGATTCTGTGGCCGCGGCTCCGCCCGCCCTGCCCGCCCCTTCCCGCCAGGCCGCGGTTGCCGGGGCGACGCCGCCATGAGGGCCGGGCCGGGCCGGGCAGTGCGGGTTCTGCGGGCTCTGCGGCCCCGAGGGGCGGGTTCGGAGGGGAACCGGCACATTCGCGGTGCTGCTGCTGTCGGGAACAAATCCAGCCCTCCGGCGCTCCCTTTGGAGTGTTAGTGAGCCGGGCACTGCTTCATTCTGGCCGGAGATAGGTGGTGAATCATCCCAGCCACGTGGATCCCTTTCGAGGCTTTTCAGGTGTTTAAACATTTTAGCAAACAAATTAACATTCACTGGTCCTAAGTTGCAACAATTCTCCTAATTTAGTTAGTACTCTATCCTTTCTTGCCTCATTTGGTCCGCATTCCTCGGTCATTCCTCCTTAGGCAGAGTCTCCAGCTCTCAGGGTTTAATGTCTTTGTTAATCCCCTCTGTGCCTTCTGGTCACTCCAATGCGTCTTTGAAGGACCATAAATTTAACACGCCAAGATGTTCAATCCTCAGCTCCCTCAAGCTTCGTTTATTGAAGCTTATCAGTGCTAGTTCAGAGAAACTCAGAGCTTTGGTGATTTAAAGATGAAACTCAGATATACATTATTTATCACTGATAAACAATCACAGGATTGAGCACTGTCTGATAGAGGAATTCACAACCCTTTTGTAAGTTTAAAAAACCCAAAAAAACCCCAAACCAGATAACTGCTACCATTAATTAAAATTTTAGGAAAATGATATGCTTTCCAACACAACTGTCCGCTCAGCACTGCCACTGTAACCCCTAAAGCACAACACCCAGACAACACTTGAACACCTCCAGGAATGGAGACCCCACCACCCTAATATAAGCCTGACCACCTGCACAGTGAGAACATGTTTTTTCTAATACCTAACGTGAATCTGCCCTGTCTCAGCTCAAGGCCATTTCCCGTGGTCCTCTCACTTGCAGGCACGGTAGAAGAGACTGACCCCAGCTCACTACAGTGTTCCATCAGGGAGCTGTAGAGAGCAAATGACATAGTTCTGTTATTAATTACTATTCTATCTTTTATTGCTTAATGATTTCCTCATATTTGTGCTTTTGGGTCAATGAGTTTCTCGGGTAGGTGGTTGGGATCTGCCCCTGCCAGAATTACCCTTTACCCAGCTAATTTCAGCACAGTTACTGAGTTGGCTTTATTTGTTTCTTCCTTATCTTGGGAGTTCTGCCAAATTTCTGTGGCATGTAAATCCTGCATTCTTCGTGCCCACTATCAGTGGTATCTCCTTCTTCCCAAGCTTTGTTAACCTCCCCCTAAAGTCTGGGATCGCTGAAGCGTGTCCAGCCCTAAACCTTAACGAGGCAATTCTAATAACATATAATTTATTTTTCTAACACCTGGACATCACTTGGAGCTTGTTGGTTCCCCTCTGTTTCTTGGATTAAATCTCCCATCGTGTTGATTAGGCTCAAAAGTATTACAAAGATCAAACACTACAGAACATCCTTTCTTAAGAAAATTTTACACGTCCCACATTTTGCAACAACAACAACACGCTGATGGTTTGTTTGGGTGCTCAGCCGTGTTTATCCCATGTCTGGGGCTGCTTTTGTTCCCATGTCTGGGGCTGTTTTTGCTCCCGGGTGCTCCAGAAGCTGAAGCAGGAGATCAGGAGGGTTCACCCCTCTGCAGAGGCTGCAGCTCTGTGAGATCAGAGCAGCTCCTGCCTGCACGGGCAAGAGGAAACACCTCAACAAGGTGTTGGAAAGCCAAACCCCAAAACTGGAGCAAGAGAACACGTGAGGGGCAGGTGCACATGCCATGAGGTCACCATTTCCTGGGGGTTTCTTCGTTCTGGGTGCCTCTGGGGGGGCACCAGCTTGAGCTGACCTGCTGTTGTACCGCTCTGTTGAAGTATTTATTTTTATAAATCTGGTGCCTGAGACTCTGCTTTGGGACACCAAGGGTTGAACTCGTGATTCTGCCTCTGCTTCATGGAATCACAGGATTGCTAAGGTGGGAAAACCACCTGTGAGGCCGTTGGGTCCAACCAATCCCCAGCACTGCCAAGGGCAGCACTGACCCGTGTGTCCCCACGTGCCACATCCACATGTTCTTTGAACACTTCCAGGCATGGTGACTCCAGCACTGCTCTGGCCAGTCTGCTGCTGTGTCTGATCACCCTTTCAGTGAAGAATTTTTCCCTAATATCCAACCTGAACCTCCTCTGGCACAACTTAGGGCCATTTTCACTCACCCTGTCCCTTGTTCCCTGGGAATAGAGCCTGACTCCCATCCCCTGGATCTCCCCTCCTGTCAGGGGGCAGCTGCTCCTCACCAGATTTGGGCTCTAGTTATTTCTTCTCTCCTCCATGGCCATCACACACTCACAGCCCAGCTCTCCTCAAGGCAATGGTCCTTTCTTGGCCCTGACTTCAAATGAGGAGTCTTGTGGATGTGAGCAAAAGGCACGGACCTTCAATCCCCTGTTTTCCTGTAGGGGAAGAAGATACACTGGAAGGTTTCCCACTGTTTTAGTGAGGAGTTACAAGCCAAGATTTTCCTGGCTGTAGCCAGAAATTTGTGTTAATTCCAGCAGATAACTGAAGACTTACCAGTGCTCTCCGATAGTAACACGAACAGAAACAGCTTAAATTACAAAAGATAGTGTGTTTATAGAATCATAACTGTTCATCAGGAGAGCAGTGTAGGCTGTTGAGTGGAAATATTAACAGCAGACATTTTCAAGCACAGTGATGCCTCATAGCTTGTTGGTCTTTTTTTAATTTTTGTAGGTTTTAGAAGTAGTTGTGTAGTGAATGCAGATTTTAATGGAGCTGTATTATATCCCTTTCCCTGTAGCATAATGTTTACACATCCCCAACTCTGTTACCTCATTCCATATCAATTCCTCTGAATTCCATTAGCCTGTTTAGTCTTCTTTTCAAGGTAGAATTGCAGAAAAACACCCTAAGGCTGGACCTGGAGATATCACACAGACACAGTTCCTTCAAGCCCAGAACTCTGGAGGAACTCCAAGGACTGTACGTGCTGTGAAGAAGATGAAGATGAGGAAGATGGGGTCCCAAAGACCCCAAACCCAATTCCTGAAGGGGTTTGGGGGGGGGGCAGAACCAGGGATGGACAAGCCTGGGATTGGATGGACCTTATTATAAAATCATAGAATGCCTGTCTAGGGGGGGCACACGTGGTGTGTTTTCCTCTAGGCCTAAGGACTCATGAAAGGACCAGCTCTCTTTATCTTATCTCCCACACTAAATTGGCCTGGAGGCTTTTTCTCTGTGGTCTCTTAAGATATCAACAGAGCAGCTTGCCTTTTCATGTCCTGCCTGCAAAAATACTGTTTCCAGGAGCCTGAGAGGGACTAAATCTGCCAAAAGATTGTGTCTCTCTCCACACATGATCCTGTAGTGGTGTTTTTCTCATCTGCACTAATGCAGGTCATAAACCAACTCTGACCATGGGTTTAGATGCAGGAATAACCCCTTTTTATCCCCACTTCCAGAAAGTTCCCCAGTCAGGCAACGATTGACATAACTCCTGCAAAACTCCCCTGAGCACAGCAATACACCTTGCCTTGCCCTCTCCTTTCTTCTTTCCACCCTTGACCTTCACCCCTTCTTTTTTCTTGAGGAAAAGATGAGCAGAAGGGCAGCCAGCTCCTCGCTGCTGGGTCTTGCTGGGGCTTGTGTGTCCTGACAAGCCATGGAGTGCTGAATCCCACGTGCTGCTCTCCAGCCATGGGGACAGTGAAAAGACTCTCCCAAATTCGGGGGCATGAGTTGTTGGGAATTCAAGAGGCTTCATGCAAGGAAGCTGAGCCAGGTTTGTGTGGCTATGGCTGATCTGCCCCCACAGCCCACCCTGCCCCCAGCAGGAAGAGCTCTGCAGGGGGAGGATGTGTTTAAATTGCTGCAGTTCTCCAGCAGGAGACATTTTCCTGACTCACACCTGAGCTTTTCCTTGCAAGGGGCTGGAAGATGTGAGTGGAGAAAGTCGGCCGTGTCTCTGCTACAAAGCCAGCAGCTGATCAGGGCTCTGCAGGAGGTTCCTGCATCTTCATGCTCAGGAATGTCCTGATGCAGCTCAGCAGGTCCCCTTCCTCAGCTAGACCCTCTGTGCAGCCTTTCCTGCTGGGGACAGCATGATTTGGGAGCTTCCAGACTCCCCTTAAAGAATGAGTGGCCACTACCCCCTGCTTCTCTCCTTTTCCTCAGTGTCTCCAGAAAGTTTCCACAGGAGAACCACAGCAGAGATGGAAGTAGGAGGATGAGGTACTCTGAGCCTATTCAGAGAATCAAAAGATCACGGAATGGCCTGGGTTGTAAGGAACCTTAAATTAGATCATCTGGTTCCACCCCCTGCCACGGGCAGGGACACCTTCCACCAGCCCAGGTTGCTCCAAGCCCCATCCAACCTGGCCTTGGACACTTCCAGAGATCCAGGGGCAGCCACAGCTTCTCTGGGCAACCTGTGCCAGGGCCTGCCCACCCTCACAGGGAGGAATTTACCCCTAATATCCCATCTAACCCTGCCCTCTGTCAGGAGGAAGCCATTTCCCCTTGTCCTGTCAATTCAGGCCTTTGTAAATAGTCACTCTTCATCTTTCTTGTAGGCTCCTTTCGTTCTCACTCCTGCTCTGGGAACATTTTATGCCTGATCCTTTCTCCACATGCTGGCACAGCAGCATCCAGAGCAAGAGGAATCCACTTTCGTCCCCTCCTTGAGACCCTGTGGGGTTGCTGCTCTTCCAGGGCCTTCCACAGCCCAAGTTTTTCAACCAGTCCTGGCAGCAGCCCCACACCTGCTCCATACACAGTCCACTGAGGTCAAGAGGACATTTATGGGCAGAGGATCAACAGAGCTGGGAGCAACAGGAGGACTCATGGACACCTTCCTCACCTGCAGCTGACAGTGGCTGAAAGGGGCTCACTGCACCTCCCACCCTTCCTCTGGGAATAATGAAGGTTCTCCATGTGCCCTGTGCTCCCCAAACCTCCCAGAGAAGCACCC